CTCACCCGGCTTCTTACAGCCTAGCATGGTTGAGGCGAGGCACTGAAATTTGTGTTACTAGACATGTGTTGGTATCTTTCTCTATTGACAGTGTGTATCATGATAGTGTTTGGTGTGATGTGGTGCCTATGGACGCGTGTCACCTGTTGTTGGGCCGTCCTTGGCAGTTTGATAGGGATGTGTGTCATGAAGGGCATCGAAACGCGTATACATTCACCTTTTCGAGTAAAAAGATTTTACTACTACCCTCCAAAGATACTCATTGTATGTCTTCGACAGGGACGGTAGTAATTTACTTTCCTGATCATTGTTTGTGCGTGAGATGTTGGCAAAAGGTGTTGTATTGTTGTTAGTGGGACCTGAGACGACGGGAGTGTCGACAGTTCCTAAGGTAGACGAGGGGTCGGGACTTTACCCCAAAGCTGCCGCCTTGGTATCTGAATTTCACGATGTATTTCCAGATGACCTTCCATATGGTCTTCCACCTTTGCAGGACATGCAATATCAGGTTGATTTAGTACCTGGCGCGTCGCTGCCTAACCGTCTACATTATCGAATGAGTCCGGTGGAACATGAAGAGTTGAGGAGACAGGTAGAGGAGTTGGTGAAGAAGGGTTTCATTAGAGAGAGCCTTAGCCTATGTACAGTCCTCGTACTTCTAGTGCCGAAGAAAAGATTGGAGTTATCAGATGTGTATAGAGAGTAGATCCATCAACAAAATAACGATTCGTTATCACTTTTTGATACCGAGGTTAGATGACTTCTTGGATCAGCTGGTCGGGGCAACAATATTTACCAAACTAGACTTCAAAAGTGGTTACCATTAAATCAGAGTCTGCCCTGGTGATGGGTGGAAGATGACGTTTAAGACATGGGAGGGATTGTTCGAGTGCCTAGTTATGCCCTTTGGACTTTCCAACGCACCTAGCACGTTCACGCGGGTGAAGAACCAAGCATTCTGATCATTTATTGTAAGTGCGTTGTTGTATACTTTGATGACATATTAGTGTACAATAGGTCGAAGGAGTCTCATGGTGTGCATCTAAGGGAAGTTCTTAGTATGTTGTGCAAGGAGAAATTCTTTGCAACCCCTAAGAAGTGTGTATTCTATGCCGATAGTGTTTTGTTTTTGGGATATGTTGTGTAAGCCGATGGGGGTAATAGTGGATTTAGCTAAGGTTGATGTGATCCAATAGTGGCCGTGACCACAATCAGTGTCTGATGTGTGGAGTTTCCATGGTTTGGTGTCGTTCTATCGACGATTTATTCAGCACTTTAGCACCATCATGTCTCCCATTACTGATTGCATGAAGGATAGTAAGTTTCAGTGGACGCTTGAGGCTAACAACACGTTTGTGACCATTAAGGAACACTTGACTTCAGTCCCGATACTTACGTTGCCTGATTTCACAAAGCCTTTCGCACTACATTGTGATGCCTCTAAATTAAGCATTGGAGCTGTCCTCAGTTAGGAGGGAAAACCAGTAGCTTATTTCAATCAGAAGTTAGCAGGAGCTCATGGGAGGTATAACACTTATGATGCAGAACTTTATGCTGTTGTTCAAGCCATTCGCCATCGGCGGCAATATCTATTTTAGCGGGAATTTATCTTATACAGTGATCATGAAGCCCTGGAGCATTTGTCCAGTCAGGAATCTATGTTTGCCCGTTATGCATCGTGGGTTACCTTCTTACAAGTTCAACTTTGTCATTAAACATCAGGCTGGTTCATATAATCGTGTGTCAGATGCGCTCAGTTGGAGACATGGGTTATTAACACGTCCACAAGTGGCGGTTACCGTGTTTGATACCTTTGCCTTTCTTTATGCTATTGATCCTTATTTTGGCCCCATTTTTCACAGTTTATTGCAGAGACCCCATTCCCCTTTTCTGTTAGAGAATGGTTATGTGTTTCAAGGTGTTCAGTTATGTATACCAGATTGCAGTCTTCGTGTGAAACTAATTCAGGAGTTTCATGGCGAGGGTCATGTTGGGTGAGTGCTTCATTTTTCTGTCCTACTATGCATCGTGAAGTGGATAAGTTTATTTCGCAGTGCAGAGTGTGCCACGTGGCAAAGGGAAAGGCCACGAATGCTGGTCTCTATTGGCCCTTACCAGTACCTTCAGCTCCATAGACTGACATTAGCATGGATTATGTTCTGGGTTTATCGCGCACACAGTGTGGTAATGACTCTATTTTTGTGGGGGTGGATCATTTTTCAACGGCACACTTCATTCCTTGTAAGCGTATGACTGACGCTGTAAAGGTTTCGCAACTATTTTTCAGAGAGGTTTACCGTCGTCCGGGGTTGCCCACTTCTATTGTGTCTGTCAAGACACATGGTTCATTGGTCACTTTTGGCGGAGCTTAAGGAAGTCAGTTAACACGTCGCTCAATTTTAGTTGTGCTTACCACCCTTAGACATATGGGCATACTGAGGTAGTTAACTGTTCTTTGGGTTATTTGTTGCGTTGCCTAGTTGGGGATAATCTTCGCTCATGGGATCAGCGATTTAGCCAGGCGGAGTTTGCGTATAATCATGCACAAAATAGGAGCACTGGTTTCAGTTCATTTCAAGTTGCGTATAGTATTCTGCCCTGCAGCCCTATTGATTTATTGACTATACCCTCTAAGACTTGATTGCACGGGATGGCTGTTGACTTAGCTTGTAGTTTGCAACAGGTTCATGAGGAAACACGAGCTAATCTGCAGGTGTCCAACCGTAAGTATAAAGAGACAGCGGACCGGCATCAACGTTCTGTTGAGTTTGACATTGGGGATTATGTTTGGGTGGTGCTGACTAAGGATCGAGTGCCATCCCATAAGCATTCAAAATTAGCTCCTCGTACCATTGGTCCAGTGGAAATTATGGAGAAGATCAATTCTAACGCCTATCGCCTTCTACTTCATTCTCATATTCGGGCTTCTAATGTGTTCACTGTGAAGCATCTTTTGCCTTACCATGGAGACAACATAGATGACAGTGCTAACGGTTCTAATTCGAGGGCGAATCCCATTGATCTTGGGAGAATGATGAGGTTCATGTGGAGGAATATGCACTTGAGTACATGGAATGCTTGGATGGTCTGCGTTCGAAGAAATTGACATAACTTTTGCATACGATGTTTGTTTTGGGCCCATTTCGAAAAACTTGCGACGATTCTGGATGAAATCACAGCTTTGCTGTGACATATGATGAATTTTTACTGTTTGAATTCGTTTACTGGGCCAAAACAGCATTTCAAGTTTCTTAGTTTACTATTTTCAGTATTTGTTATTTTTGTTTCATAACCCAGCCCATTAACGGACTGTTGATCGAGTAGGTTATTTGTTCTTTCATATTTAAGGCTTTGAAAACTCCTCCTAAGTTTTTGATTGTTCATAAGGGAAAAACGTTGGTTTTCTTGAGTTCAACCCGTTTGAGCTTTTATCATCGCGTATTTGTAGATTCGATCTACATCAGTTTGGTAACCCCTTTGTAATAATCAGATATGTAAGTTGGATGATTAGCTTAACAAATTTAATATACCAGAGAATATTCTTCATCAAATAAATTAATAAAATATAAAATTAATTTATACTTGCCGACATATCATAAGATAAATGAATAAAATATAAAATTCATGCTTAACGGAAATTATATTGCAAACACAATACAAATAATTTTCAAGTTTGTAGTATTATAAGGAAAGAAGAAAAAAAATATTTTTCCTTAATTATTTGTATATCTAAAAACATAAAAAAATATAGAGAAAATAAGATTTTGTAAGTTACAACGACGAAGCACGGTAGGTGATAATCATGACAAATGTAAGTATTTAGCAATGATATCTTGTTGATGATTTCATCTTAATCATCAATATATATTGATTTCATTCAAAATTGTGTAGAAATTATGTATATATGTTCGACAATAAAATAATATATACAGGTTGAGTGAGTATAAAATATTTAATACAATAACAACAAAACCCAAGCGCAGAGTCTTCAAATTTTTGCAGCATCATTAATCTCTAGAATTAGTTTTATGATGTACAATCTGGTAATGCTTACCGGCTTGTCTTTGTATTTGAAGTGAATTATATATCTTTTAGAAACCCGAAATTTTGCTAAATTAACGATTTGCACTACAAGCCCTTAAATTTTCAAAAACAAAAAACAACGTAAGAGTAAACTACATGATTACTGAAGCAAAAATGAAATCAAACCATTCACATAAGCCCAACCATGCAAACTACAATTTCCTAGGAAGTTCTGAAGAAGCTCGTCCAAATTTAGATCGAGTAGCCATTGATATTAGGTGGGGATAATAAGAACCCTTATACAAGTATAGATACAAAGGAAGAGCCAAATGAAAGACTAAAATTACACTAACAAGAAGCACAAGTACATTCTCCCTGGATTAGTTCAATTCAAAAATATTATTATCATCGATTCAATTGCTAGGTATATAAAACTCTTTATCCCAGATCTAATGAGCACTAACGCTTAGTTTATATTAAGCACCGGTTACATGACACACCAATTAATTAGTAAATACATTCACCATTACTTCTCTCGATATATACTTTGATAAGTAGAATATTGAATGTTCTCTAACTGTATGATATCCTTTATTTAATAATAGAAAACATGATCTACACATTATCCATAAAAACCTCAATTCCCAAAAAGCAATCGTATTTTTTTGAAGTGAACGGAGTAATAAAGGCACGCATGTGACTCCAAAGAAACATTTGTGGACTATCCAGCTTGACATTTTACAGGTAAATTAGGTACCTGAATTTATCTTCATCCATGAGGTTAAAACTTAATGTTTGAATCCTATTGCTTTAGGTACAAAACCAAGTGGTCCAACTTGTAGAATATAGAAATAAATCCTTATTGACGCATGCGAATTGTGATGTTTCGCGTAGACTCTCCACTTGATTTAATTTGCGTCGCTATGGTAGTTGCGATATTTATATATAAATATATATAGAAGAATAACAAAGACAAATTAATAAGAAATAGAAAGCTTCTCCACTTCTCTTGCACTGGAAAATCAAAGCCTTTTGTTAGAAAATACAATGACAAAGTACAACTAGAAGAAACAAAGGCTTAAACAAGGCCTTCTATTAGAAAATACAACAAAGTAACAACAAAGCTTCTCCACTCCTCCACTTTTCTTAGTAACAACAACAAATACTAGAACATGTATTGTAGACCCTTTTATTAGAAAAGCCTGTGCTTAACCGGTCGAAACATAAACCTTGACGCCCATATTGTTGAGTGGATTAGGGAAATCCATAACTTAAAATTTAGCATTGCATATAAAGAGATTGGAAGCAAAGCAAGACCAGCAATAATTCTTGGCAATATCCCTTGCTTTTCTTCCTTGTAGACCAAAAAGAAGGTTGCACTAAATGTTAAGTCCATGCAAACGATTGAAGCAAAGAGTGTAATTAGTCCAACCATCAACTTTGCCGGTAATGTATATAGAAAATCTTCCTCGCCATAGCGTGAAGTTAAGATAGACAGGAATATCATTATGGAAACTGTCGAGCTAAACAATGCCACTGCATCAGATATAACAAAAACTGTAAATCACCTGCTGTTCAAGAAAATTGGAGCGCCTGTTTCTTCCTTATTCCCACCTGGTACGGTAAAGGCTGCAGCAAATGCAACTGTGGCAATTAAGGCTGCCACCACCATGCAAGAAGCTGCTGTGTCCTTCATCCACTTCTCACCAGCTTCCCGTAACTTCTCATGCTCCTCTGTAAACAACTCCCTAGGTGTTTCACCCTTTTTGTTTTTCTCCTGCAGATAGGAAGGCCGTAGATTCTTCTCCACCTCCTGTAAAGCTTACTCAGATTAAAGTATATTGCATAATCATCCGAAATTTAAATGTAACAAGGGGAACTAATTTTTGTATTACGTAGAATAGTGACATGGATACATATATCCACATATATATATTCAAGATAAACAAGAAATGATACAATTCACCTTCATGTTATAAAGTGTTCCTCTTCTCTTTGAGGGGAAAAAGGAAAGGGGATTTGGTAGTCTCGTTAATTTCCTACCTTAAACCACAATAGCTCTCTCTGCATTTGAAGAGCTGCTCCAGATACACTATTGAGTCTGCTTGAAGGTGCTAATTTCGCAGCCAAGTGCAAAATGTTGTTTTCGGATTCATCTTTAATGTGCATCAATAAATCTCCAATAGCTCCTGTGCTGTAGATGAGACTAAAGACTTTTTCTTGTCGGTAAATAACAGCAACATGAAATATGGAGTAATTATTATTTTTGTTGTGTGTCCGTATAAAATCAGGATATGAGTTAGCAAGCAGAGTCAAAAACTCAATGTTCCCAATTTTTGCAGCATCTTGAAGTATAGATGTCTTGCAAAATATGTTTAAAATTTCCGATTCCTCTAAAGTCAGAATCTGTTCACAAAGCTTCTCTACCAACTGACTGGCTTGTCTCCGCTTTTCAATTGAACAATATATCCTTTTGAAACCTACAAATCTTTGGTAAATTATTTCAAAAGTTCATGTTAACTGCAGAGTCAAAAATTGAAAAGAAAAAAAAAATGAAAAAAGGGAAAATCTAAGAAAAAATCTATATATCGATCATGCACACATAAAGCCGAGACTTTAAACTAGTATTTGCTAGGAGTTACTTTGAAAAATAGACTAATCTATATTCTGATAATATTGTGATTTAAGACAATAAAACAAAACAGAAACACTAGGAAGGGCATAAATGTGATAAGTAAAGCTTGAAATTTTCAATATAAACACCATGCATAAAAAAAGTTCAATAAATATTTTCAAAGCGGACAGAGTAGTATACGTTTATGTGAATCCAAACTGCAATGAGTTGAAAGGTGTAGATACATATATGTCTACTATTAACTAGAAATTTTCAGGTAAATTAAGCTCGATTTTCATTCTCAGTTGAAAGTTAATAATGAAATAGAATAATCTTACAGGGAATTTAAGGGACGATTCTAGCGAGACTTTCAGGTATCCATTCTTGACTTGTACCATAGTATGAAAAAGGTTTTCGAGCTAATGCACGCAGAGCCCTTTTTTTGTTCACGTCTGGAGAAGTGATTATACTTCTATCTGCTTTCAATATGTTTAATACGATATCTGCGCATAAGAAAAGCAAATTTACAACAATTCTAAGCATAATTCTCATTGTTATCTTGCCCAAAGTCGTGAGGAGAGATTCCATACCATACATGCCAATGTCTATAGTTGCAACAAGAATGTCCATGCGCTCATTGTCCTTGAAATTTTGAAGAGGTGTAATTTTGTAAAGATATTCAACCATTTTTTTGTTTCCCATCAAAACTGCCGTTTTAATTGGGCTGACTTTGTTTTCGTCACGAATTGTTGGCAGAGCATTGTTTTTTTCGTACATGACCTTGGCAATCTCTACAACCCCTGACACGACTGCAAAAAAGAAAGCTGTTTGTCCGTGTTTATTCGGCAATTCCAGGTCTTCTTTGTTCAAGCATTCGACTAGCTTGCAGACAAATGCAGTTTGCTTGGCGATAGCAGCTATGTGAAGAGGCCTCTCTCCATGTCCTGCTATCTCAAGGGAACCCGCTCTTCTGTCCAATCTCAGAGCAGTTTCAGCATCCTTCCAATCTCCTCTTAAAGCAGCTTTATATAATAGTAAACGAAGCGACAGACTTTCTTCCTTTTCTTCCCCTGACGATGTTGTTATCAGATGTGTGGAAAATGCTCCACATATTAAATCAAATCTACTCACCCAATCAAATCTTAATATTTACAAGCACATCAATCTCATTACTGTTGTAATTTGTTTAAATCATAACAACGAGGGTAAGGATGATTTTTTGATACTTTCCAAGTAGGGAAAGTTGAGAAAAATTGGACGAATTGAACAAAATAAAATTGCTTAGAACGAAAATGAGACCTCTAAATAGACGATTAATTCATCACTTGGCCTCAATGTGATATCTATAGTCCCAACTGGAAAATCTTATAATTTGTATTTGTTTAACGTGGCTGTCTACATAAATAACATAGGCACATTTACGCGTTATGTCTTGCCACCCGCTTCAGAGTTTGTGGCTCGTCACTGTATAAAGTATACAGTTATCCTATATTCAATCAACAATAGAACCTGTCCAATAAAAGAAAATCAGAAACTTACGTTGTTGAGCATTGGCATTGGAGATTGGATCTTCAACTTTGACTTCAACTTGGCTATGCATGCTTGGTAGCTCAACGACTGCTACCTCGAGATCATCTGATGTGGTGGCTGTAGAAAAATTAATCACACTTACCTTTTCAGTACAACAATTAAAATATCAAAAGTAAGAAGACATATTAAATGAACAAGACTCTATCTTTTAAATACGAGTATCAAAGGGTAGGCACGAACCTGTACCTGATAACTCCGGCTGATCAACCCTTGCCTGTTCTGTGTCTAGTTCTGGATTCGTTTCATAACTTCTCGAATTCATAGCTTTATCCCTCCTTCTTCTCCTACCCGCCGACCTGGAAATTTATCAACAAAACCAATAATCTACTGTTAATTGATAACAGTTTGTGTTAGTTTCTACATATATGGTACATTTGATAACATTTCAACTTTGTACAAGTAACTGTTGACCAGCTATACTTCAGTGCTCGATATCATATATAGAAATGCAAATGCTGATTGTTATGTGCAGGCTCGGGTGATACTGCACATTCTATCATGCAATCTGTAATGCATGATATACAACCAGCATTACACACGCTTATGCATGGAAAGTGTTACCTCAAGACTGAGCGAAGGCAATGAATTTATAGCTGAAGTCCTAAATTGTTATTTATTTTTTATTTTTTTTTGGGAGGAAATTGCAATATTTTTCTTCAATCCATAGCCTTATTAGCAAACGAGTCCCTAATATATTTTCTTGACATTTAAAAAAACTCTCAAATTACAAAATCAAAATGTCCTTAGAGTCAAACCATTGATTCGGGACAACGTTTAGGTTTCTAAATCGACCAAACCGTTTAGAAATAGTTTTATTTAAACTTCAATACTTAAAAATCATTTGAAGTCGAATTGAACCGTTAATATAATTAAGAAAAAAGAAAACAAATCCTAAGTTAGAGATCCCTAAGGAAGCTATTTGAAAACTGAATCCTAATTAAAATACTTGCCTTGTGGCTCATAAAAGACTTGCCTAATTGAATTAGGATTTGTTTTCTTTTGCATTTCTTTCTTTCTTTCCCTTTTTAAGCCGAAAGGCAAGTATTTTATAAGCCACAAGGCAAGTATTTTACAGGCCAAGGATTTGTTTAAGACTCATAGCACAAGGCAAGTATTTTTATAAGCAATGAATTAAAATTATACAAATCGAGGTTTGAATTAGGGCCTTATGAATATTAAGCCCCTATTTGATAGATATTAAAAATATGATATTTAGCAGATTTTGATAAAAATTGATTGAATGTGTGGTTAAAAAGTTATGGGTCATATGAAATATGTGGTTAAACCTAATTATTGACTTTGATTTAGAAAATAATTAAATAAATTAAAAAATAATTAAACATAATTAGGAAAATTGGAAGACAAAATACACTATTTAAACTCAAGTACAAACATTTAAGAAGGAAAAAAAAAAAGAATAATAAGTTGATCGAAAAAATTCAAGCAGATCACATAACACATAGAGAAGCATTAGTTTAATTAAAACATTAATCAAGACAATGACAATGGAAAATTGGAAAAAAGATGGAGAAATAAAACAAAATGCAAGAACCAAATGAATATCGGTGCCATAATGATTGACCCTTTGATTTCCCGCAAATGAACGGGATCGTGAACAAATAATAAAGTAATTAATAGTGTTGAACCCATGATGACTATATGTTTGACCAAGCTAAAATTAATTGCAACTTTAATTGAATAGCAAAAAGGTTTTGTGATTTTTCTATACTAATTCCTAAATTATCAATTAAATCAGTTAAAGCAAGTAGATGTGTTTTTCAAAAATGTGATATGCATTGCTAAGATATTGAATCTCCTTGTTATTCCATTTTTAGCGTAATAATTTGTAATCATCCATGTTGGTCAATGTTCCTAATTTAATTAAAAATATTTCTCGATAGCGATCAAATCTATTCTCTTCATGCGACCTTTCTATCTCTCGATGAAAAATGCAAACATGATAAATCCATTAACAAGTGTTAGAACACATTTTGAAACCATATAAATTGTAAAAGTATATCTCTATACTTTATAGAACCTTACAATATTTATTATATTGTGTTTAAATCCTATTGTCTCTCCCGATTACAATAAAATTCACTAACAATTCAGTTGACGATCAAGCAATTGAAAAGAACAATAAAAACTATAATAAACATCCACAATTTAGACCAATTTAAAGTAAAAATAATTAATTAAAAACTAAAAATATCATAACAGGTGTTCATCTCATCCTAACAATGTATAAAACTAGTCTAACATATCGAAATTACAAGAAATCATATGTAAGTGGAAAGATATAATCTGAATTTTTGATAAATTGAGAAGATGGAGATGAATCTTGAAATATTGAATATTTTCAATGGTTTTTTTATGAATCTCCACTTGCGTTTTCTCTTCTTTGTCCAAGGATCAAGTTTGAATCTTCACTTTATTAAATTCTTGCTAGTACCCGTCAATCCTCTCATAAAAACTATGAATTTTCTTCTTTTGATAATAATAATTGACAAAAATCGGAGTTTAATATGTATATGAGATGTGTCTAATATGTATTCTGCTATTATATGTGTAGGAGTTGAAAATTGGTTAAAATCACGTCCAAATTGGTTTGCAAAAGAGTTCCAGTCGAATAAGAAAAGTTACTTTCGCATGTGCATGTTTTTGTCTCTGCATAGCAGTTAGTATTTTAATCATAAGTTGTTTTCCCTGTATTCAATTGAGACAATTCAAAATGCGTTAGAAAGATAACGCAAAGGGCTACATTTCTTCTTAAAATCGAATTTTTTCAATTCGAACATTTACTATGCCAAAATGGGTCTCAATCTTTGACTAGAAATCTAGAATATAACTTGTGCGATTGAAAATCGATTTATGGATAATATTTTGATCATATTCCATGCCTTTTTGAATTCTGGTTGTATTCAATTGACTCCTAGTAATCTTCAAAGTAAAGTATTGCGGCCCAAATCAAACATTGAAAATCTGCAATTTGGTCATCAACCTTTGTACTTCACCATTTTTTGCTTCTTTATTTCAATTCCACTTTCAATCATTGAATCTTATCTAATAAACGAAATATACAATAAATTAGGCTATAATTGCTTAAAACAACTATTAAATATCTCTATTTTCAAGTCAAAATAAGTGTATAACATATACTTATTAAATACTCCAAGATTAAATATTTGTTTGTCCTCCAACAAAATTATAACTTAACTTAACAAACACACAAACATGCAAAATATTATGGTTAGATAATCTTGCCATTCTAGGCTATATTATTCTCTTTAAATCACAAAATAACGGTATTTAACAATTTATTTTATTGGATATAACTACCTTTGTCAGTTTTTATTTTACGGACAAGTTTATAATAGAAATAGATCTGGAAATAATTAAAATAATAAAATATTGATTTTAGTCAAAGAGACCCAAGTCAAATAATAGACTTGTATAGTATGACACGGACCGTCTAATCTAAATCCCACATAAATTTCACATTTTACCACTTAACCAATAATCCCAATTTAATTATTTTCTCAAATTAAATATACGATATCTATTTAACAACGGCTTGTTTATAAACACAAGTATCAAAGGATAGGCACGAACCTGTACAAGACAACTCTGACCGATCAACCCTTGCCTATTCTTGTTCTAGTTCTAGATCCAGTACATAACTTCTAGAACTCATTGCTTTATCGCTCATCCGTCTTCTTCCATCCGCTGACCTAGAAATTTATCAAGAAAACCATTATTCTATGGTTAACTGGTATCAGTTTGTGTTAGTTTCTACATATACGGTACGTTTGATAACACTATACAAGTAACTGCTGACCAGCTATACTTCAGTGCTTGATCATATATAGAAATGCGAATGTCGATTATTATGTGCAGGCTCGAGTGATACTGCACCTTCTGTCATTAGGGATGTCAATGAGCCAAGCCGAAATTCTAGGCTCGGGCTCGACTCGGGTAAAATATACGAGCTTTTTTTGGGGCCCGAGCTGAGCCGAGCAAAAGCTCGACAAAAAAGATTGGGCTCGACCCGAGCTTTTGGCTCGGGCCTTTCCAAGCTGAGTCGGCTCGGCTCGGGTTTTGTTTGATTTTGGAAATTTTTTTTTATATTAAATAAAATGGCAGCAGGTTGCTTCCAAACAAGGATGCAACCTGCTGCCCTATTTCTGCTGATGCCTTTTATTTTTTTATTTTTAAATATATGCTCCGAGCCGGCGAGCCACACGGGCCGGCTCGAGCTTTGCTCAACACCTAAAAATGGGGCTCGGCCCAAGCCTTAACTCGGTTCTCCTGAGCCTCGAGCCATGCAGGCTCGAGCTTTTTTCGAGTCAAGCCACGGGCGATTTGAGCCGACGAGCTCGATTGCCATCCCTATCTGTCATGCAGTCTGTAATGCAGGCTATAAAACCAACATTACACACGCTACAAAGAAAGTGTTACCTCAAGACTGAGCGAAGGCAGTGGATTTATTGCTGAAGTCCTAAATTATTATTCCTTTTTTTTTCTTTTTTTTTTTGGGAGAAAATTACAGCATTTTTCTTCAATCTATTGCCTTATTAGCAAATGAGTCTCTAATATATTTTCTTGACATTTAAAAAAACTCTTAAGTTTCAAAATCAAACTGAAATCCTTAGAGTCAAACCATTGATTTGGATCCACTAAACTTGTCAACGCTTAGTTTTCTAAATCAATCAAACAGTTTAGAAATAGTAGATTCTAATTTCGATACTTAAAAATCATTTGAACTCAAATTGAACTGTTAATATAATTAAGAAAAATGAAAACAAATCTTAATTTAGAGAGTTTGGGAAGATGCTTGAAAACTGAATCCTAACTAAAATACTTGCCTAATTGAATTGGGATTTGTTTTCTTTTTCTTTTCTTTGCCTCATTTTTTTTTCCTGAAACCACAAGGCAAGTATTTTACAAGCCAAGAATTTGTTTAAAACTCATAGCAAGAGGAAAATATTTTTTATAATCGATGAATTAAAATTATATAAAGTGATATCAGTTAACATAAGAAATCATTTCCAAATATAGGCAATGTAAATCATGACAAGCCAATGCGAAGTCATCAACTCCCCGGGGTGCGTCTACCTCTACAAGAGACCATCAATCCCTCGAGGTGCTCTACCTCTACGCGAGATCATCGATTCCCCCCGAGGGCTCTACCTCTACGAGAGCTGTCGACCTCCTGGAGGCGCTCTACCTTTATGAGAGATCGCCGACCCCTTGGGGGCGCTCTACCTCTACGAGAGACTAGCGATCGGCATGGAATTACCTATAAGGTCATCTCAACACTTAGCCTCAAAATCTCTGATGAATTAACAAGGTTACGTGACGGTCACCAAGAACACAACCTCCGTGGGGTAGTTAAGACCCCCCACTCAGAACGTGGGGATAATGGGAAGGCCAATGTGGGACACTTGGCGCCACAGCCACGCGGCTCTCACTCGGCTTCTGACATCTATAAATACCTGCCAAGGGCGAGACAAGTATGGATGATTGCATATTTTTTAGCTATCTAAATTTCGAATTTATTTTCTTCTAACACACCTATT